ATGGCCATTTTAAGGTCATAATTAGCTCATCAAAAAATGACCTTATTATGTGCCAGATATGTGACAATAAATAACCTTAAAATGAGCTAGTTATGATCATAAATGATCTAAATATGATTCATTTATACGTCATTCACGATCATCAGATGAGCATTCAATGATTCTATTTAAGGTCATTTTCTTCGACCTGGGAAGTCTGCTTCTTTGTGTAGAGAACTATCTATCCGATGGCATTTTATCGAATGCATCCCTTGGCTTCTCGCTTCTCAGAAAATTTGACTCGCTGAGACAATCATATGAATATATTCACATTACTTTCGAGATCGATGCGTCATTGTCTTTCCCATAGAATGGTCCAAGAAGATCCAAAACATAGCCGTCTGGGAGAACAAGAGACATCATTTTGATCAGATGCCTTGATTTTTGTCCTGAGTAGCTAGATCGTTGCAATGCACGGTCGTTGCTCTTATTACAATAGATATATGTACCATCCCAGTAGTCTGTGTGTTGATTGAGTGCCTCTGCTTGAGTAAGATGAGTCAGCCCAATATGTTTTGAGACTAAAGCTTCGTTTAAGTAGCCCAACACTGCGTGAAATGCATCTTCCACTCGACGCCGAATACTTTCTTCCTCCGTATCAATCTTGAAAAGTGTGCCGATTTGCCGGAATGATAGATTTCTTTTCAGTTTTGTCCAAAAAAGACACACAGCCTCGAACAGCGAACGATGTTTGCTTTTATTCATTCGATGTGCAATAAGTGAAGTCATACTTCTAAGTTGATCGACATTCCAACCCGTCCATGCTATATAATCGTCATCGCTGCAAACAGGATCATCTTCAGCGAGCAGCGGTGCGTGTTTGACGCGAGAAAGTTCTAGTATTAGATCACTGATTAAACGTTGCACTTGCGGAGGTGAGAGGTGAGTAGGTTCGTGAGCACGTTCACGGGGTGTTTCGCAGCAAGCAATAACACAACGACGTGCATTAGGACTTGAATAGACATGGTGATCACACAAAAGCGTCATTCGCTCGCTTGTGGAGACAGACCGCATTGAGTTTCCTGTTTTCATACACATCACACAGTAGTCGAAATCGTTACCGTTGCCCACCATGTCATCGCAGACCACGAAATCGCTGACAGATGACAAGAAGTGTGCTGGTTCTGGCTCACTCGTCTCGTCGTTATCGTCATTGACATCAACCGGTGGAGTACGCGATCTATCGTGCCGACGTCGTTTGTTTTCCTTATACAACGAGGTACGACACTTGTTACAAATTATCATTTCCTGTTGCAGCTCAACACCTCGCGCCTTCAAGAGCTCATGGAGCCACCGGTACCTTTTGCCAGAAACATCTCGTCACGTATTCCTCGATGATTTTGTCGGTTTGTTGACGATACTTGTACAACTGACACAAGAAACTGGCTTTGATTTCATGCTTGATACGCATAACAACGTGCTTCAGTTGAGTTCGCCCTTGATATCCAAGTCACAAGATAGACTTTGAGCTCGCATAATATATTTCATCATTACGTAAGAAATCGAAGGACAGTCTGAGCAGTATCTGAATCTCAAACTAACTTCATCAGTTGTTCACATTGCGTCCTGAGAAAAGATCTGTTAGGATTCTGAAAGAAATCTCAACTTCATGTCTG